TTTTGTAGAAAAAATTATTTTTGTTCTGAGTTAAGTTTATGTTCTGCTAATAGGAACATCAACACGACACTAGAAATATCAACAAGTTTATGGCAAGAGTTTACAGTTTGGGGGCAGGGAGATATGTAATAATTTGCCTACAGTGAAAAGCAGAATGCAAACTTTACCCCACACAAGTATGTAGATGAACACAATGAGAATTAAGTTTACTGAAGAATTGTGGGCAAGAAATGGGACAAGGGTGGCACACTGAAATTGAGGTTCCCAGTAGATATACTCTACTCTGCCTCTGTGACAAACAATCAGTCTATTTATTTATTTATTTATTTATTATGGATACAATATTCTGTCTGTGTCTATGCCTGCAGGCCAGAAGAGGGCACCAGACCCCATTACTGATGGTTGCGAGCCACCATGTGGTTGCTGGGAATTGAACTCAGGACTTTTGGTAGAGCAGGCAATGCTCTTAACCGCTGAACCATCTCTCCAGCCCCACAAACAATAATTCTTGTTCTGTCTAAGAAGAACGTATTGTGTGGGTGCTATCAAACAACAGGAAGACACTATTCTGTATACTTGTGCAATAGTTTTCACTCTGGAAATCTCTCTGGTAATCCATTCTCTTGAAGTTGGGTTCAAAGCATTAAGATGAACGACAATGATGTTAATGTTTTTATTTTAATTTTTATTTATCAGATACAGGAGAAGCTATCACTTTTTGTCTCATGGGAGTCACGATAAAAAAAGTGAGAAAGCGAAGAAAAGTCAAATAGCAGACTAAAACGGAAAGGGCAAGAGGGATGAACTTAGCTAGGTGAAGAAAGGGCATGAAAAGTGGACAGTGGCAACAGTACATTCAGATATGAAAATACATGTAATTCAAAACATGGCTAAAGAGTCATTCATGATGAGAAAATTTTAAATTAAAATGTTCTCAGTATCAATACTTGAACTATTCTGTTACTTAATGGACTGACAAGAAGGCCAATATAGAATGAGTTTCATGATAGCTACCCAAGGGACATCAAATATAAAACAAGGAAGTAGATATGGTTCTCCTTCCATGGCTTAGGTCATAAGCCCAACATGTAGCTAAAAATTGGGTACCACTCTAATAAAGGTCAAGGGTCCTGAGCCCAAACAGAATAGGTAAATGAAAATGTTTTATCTGAAGTTTTCTGTAATTAATTTCCTACATTTCAGAAGTTGCAGACAGTCCAAGAATTCTAAAAATCCGGAAAACTGCTTTGGTGGTTCATTTATAAAAATCCTAATCCTCTTTAAGTAATTATGAGATAGTCAAAGTATATAATAAATAGGCATGCATAAAATTTACTTTTGTATTGCCATGACAAAGCACTACGACCAAGGCAAAAATATAAGAAAGCATTAAATTTGGGGCTCATGTTTCCAGAGGACCATGTCATGGCAGCAGGCAGTCAGAAAAAGTACTGGATCCACAGCTAAGAGCTTATGTCTGATCTGATCCACAAATGAGATAATTGGAAATGTTATGTGCTTCTGAAATCTCAAAGACTAGCTACAGCGACAGACTTTCTCCAACTAGGCCATACCTCCTAATCCTTCCCAAACAGCTTGATCAACTGGGGACCAAATATTTAAACATATGAGCTTATAGGGAGAAGTTCTCATTCACACCACCAGTTATGTACATAACAAATAAAAGAAATAAAAAAAAAATGTTGTTTTGCCTTTCTTTTCTCTACATATGATTACTAGTTTTCTTTTTTAATAGTCTTCTTCTTAACTTTACAGCCAAATCTACACATTTCATATAAATATGCTTCTTGACTGTACTGCCACTTTCCTTCCTTTGAACAAGTTATCAAAGCATGATTAATTTCGTTTTAAGTCAAGGCCCTAATTGTTCCCTGCTGTTTTAAAACTTTTTTTATTGTGAAAATAAAAACAAGTCATTCTACTTTAACATGCATTTTGTATCTCTGCATAATTATTTTGTATTATTGTCTCTGTTCACTTTGGCTCCTCTTCTAGTTGTGGTTAGGGCTAACCAATCACAACTAGAAGAGAAAAGAAGACAGAAAGGAAGATGAGGAAATGAATCTGAAAAATTCTAAAATTATACCACACTCCAGCACACCCCCACACCCAAGTGCCAAAGATATTAACCAAATCCCTCAACCAACTGCTTTCTGTGAGCACTCTCATCTCCCCTGCAGTCTCCTCATTCTCTCTTATGTCAGACTTAAATGCTTTGTCATTTAACCTGATTGATCAGAAGAGACCACTGTGCCATGAGAAACAGTTGTGCCAGATAGGAACTGACACAATGGTCACTGTTTCCACCTGGAAAAGGACAGTAAGAAATTATTGAGCTTATTCTATGAGAGTAGGTAAGAAACATCATATTCCAAATTCTGCAATAAAATAAAGAGATGGTAATGGTGGTATATAACTAAAATCCTATCACTCAGAAAGCTAAGGCAGGAGGCTTTGGGGTTCAAAACCTGCATGGGCCATGGAGGGAATTCCACTGAAAGTGGCTCAGTTCATTTGGACATGCCTACTGGAGGTCCATTCATTTGCCATTCCTTAACAGAAAGACTTCATGTCAACAAACTACCTTTACACAGTAACCTGTAGTATGCTTTTACAGGGAAGGCAACTACTTTAATATGCTATGTAATGATTGTAAAAAAAAAAAAAAGTAAAATATTGAGCTAAATATAGAGGTATACAGCTGTTCTCCCAGCAGCTAAAAAGCTGAAGCAGAAGGATTGAAAGTTCAAGGGTAGCCTGAGCTACAAAGTGGCATTCTATTTCAATAAGAAGTGAAACATTTGCCAGGAACAGTGGTACATTCTTATAGTCCTAGCACTTGAGTGACTGAGGCAAGAAGACTACCATGGGTGTCAAGCCAGTATCAGCTACATAGAGTATTCCAGGTCAGCTAGTACTTTACAGCAAAACACCCCTCAATTACCCCCACTAGGCACGTTAGTAAATTATTGTCAAAAATTTAAAAAGCATAATCTTTGAAAAGAATCCCACCATAAATAATGTTTTTGCCAAAAACAGTTTAGTTTAAAAGGTTAACAAATTATTACAATATTTTAAATTAGCAATAGAAATAAAATGCTTTAAAAATAAATCTAGCATCATCACTGTTGTCAATTTTATGATATGCTAAATAGAGAACATCTGTTACATCACTAAGCAAAGCATACAGGAGTGACTACTTTAATATGAAAACTAAAAGGCTTCTTTACCATTTGTTGTGTCATTTTATGAAAACTAATCATTTTCCTGTATGGAAAAACCTGCTCAAGGAAATAAATTTTCTTATATCATATATTCTATCCTTTCCGAAGTTTTCTATACAAATAAACATGCAGAGTTGTTTTCAAAAGCGATAAGTAAAGTATTTGAATAAATACAAATTTACCCACAGTATTAACATCACATCTCTTTCAATTCTGAGGTTTCATATCATTGAAAGACTGCTGACATTAGTAACTTTTTTAAAATAAATAGTTTTAATAGAAGATATTTAGAGCTCATGCTTGCCCATCAGTTGTTCTTTTATCCTCATGTAGTTACTAGGAGTTGACCGGGGCTTGTACAGAGAGACTAACTTTAACGTGCTACAAGGGAAAGTAATGCGCTTTACATGGCCCAAACTAATTCTGTGTTACATAGAAATGAAAAAAATTCCCTTCAAAAGGTCAACCAGGGAGGAGACTTTTATGAAAATTTCTGAATAGGTTAGAAGGTAACAGGAAAGAGCTTGACATGTTAAGCATCTATTGTCTACTTGTAACACAACCCTGTAACTAAAAATAACTTTTGTATTTACTGTAAAGCTCTTTTTGACAAAGGGATGATAAAATTAGGTTTGATTGCTACACCAACAGAAACCAAAGAAAAGAGAGGACAGTAGGCAACTTCAATAGAGTTTGAGGGCATTACTGAACAATCTCAGAGAGTCTAATGTTTACAATCTGTTGTGGGAATTCCATCCCATAGCGAATTATATGGGGCAGCTTGGTCCAATGGGCCTGATCTTCTCTGGAGATACATGAACTGATAACCGGGGTGGGAGGGTCCACACCCTAGCACCTGCAGAGAACTTGGCCTTTGCGCCTGTAGCTCTGGATTGCAATGAGCAGAGAGGCAGACATGGCAGGGGTTGTAAGGACTGATGGTAGCACATGTAAGAAGCCAGCAGGCACTGGGTGGCCCATGGGGGAGAACAGTTGAATGCTGAAGTAGATTTTACTGTAGAGGTTGCTTGTGCTGGAACTGAGGTTAGCAATAATGGGCATTAGGACCAGAACCTACACAGCGTCTGTGGGTCTGTAGGTGACAGATGGTTAGGCAGCTGGCTAACTTGCAAAGTTCAGCCTTGAGCAGTACTCACCCAGACCTGCAGTTGAAGGGGGGGGGGGGGGTGTTTGAGGTAGGGAATGGGGGTGGGGAAAAAATAAACACTGGTTGCCCGAGTTCCTCAGGCCAGTTGGTCTCAGGCCACATGGATGCCAGGAAAAGAGAGAAGTCTGAGGAAAGTGTTACTTTTATTAATATCAAAATTCATACATAATGACTACAAAACAGAACAAGGAATCTGGGTAGAGTCTCCAGTTGTTCCCACTGGGGTCCAGCTCTCCTCACAGCTGCCTTAATCTTCCTTACATAGGGTAACAAATCTCCAGAGAACACCCATTGGGCCAAGCTTCCCCATACAACTGCCTATTAGATTGAATTCCCACAACACATATCAATCTAGGAAATGTATTAATCCCTTTCCCATATTGCAAATAGAAAATGATGGCAGTTATAGAGATTTACAATATACCAGGAAACAATCTGAGTGTAAATATATTCAGGACAGAAGAAAATACAGGTGGAATATAATGAAGCTATTAGATTTATTATCTTGGAAACAATTAACAGAAAAATTCAGGATTTGAAATTAACATTAATGTATGAAGTAAAAAAAAAAAGTCTTTAACACTCACCAATTTTAGCCTTTGTAAAGGTATTCTGCCTACATCTATTTGTGTCCTTTCTGGGACATTAGTAAATCGAACTTCTGGAACTGCAACAGCACATATGACATGGGCCCACCTACAAGAAAGGAGACATTAAATATAAGCAAGCTTCCTAAACTTGCAGACTTCAATTTGGTGGTTATAATTTGGTGTACAGAAGAAATGAAGCCAAAAACTTAATCCTATTATAAAATCCCAAAGAAGTTGTGGATTTTAAACCTCTTCAATGACAAGTAGATTTATTTAGCACATCTGCCTAATACTCTGACATCAGTAACTAGTAAACGGGAATGGAGAGATGGTTAGTAATTCTTGAAATGGACTTTGGCAGATCCCAGCACCCACATGGCTGCTTATAACTGCCTGAAACTCTAGCACCGGAAGATGAGATATCTCTTCTGCATTTTTTGAGCTGAATGCACACTAAGGCACAGACACATATACAAAACTGAACAGGTAAAGTCCTATAACATAGTTTTATATATTCAAAAAAGTAGGTTTTTGTTATCATTTGATACTACACGTGTAATATATTTAGGATAATACGTGACAAAAGAGTAAAAGTTCAGTTAACTACAAATTATGTTTTCATATAATACATGATATATGCCATATGTTCTGAGGCAAATTAGTTGAAATATAAATATTTCCTATACAAATTAAAACTAGTTAAGTATTTAAATAATTTTCCTCATTGCACTATTACCAAAGGAATCTATAGCTAAGAGAAATGAAATGTAGTTTGTTTCCTGATCTCCTACTTAAAACACTTGTACATCCTCTCACATTCTAAATTTGCATGAATTTGTTATTAGTATTATTCAGTATCTTGTGTTATTCCTCCAAGTAAATATAAGGACTTAAAAGGTTCAGAGATCATGAAGATTTGTATTATCAAATATATCAACCCATATTTAATCCAAAGCTCCTTTGTTTTGTTTTGTTTTGTTTTCCAAGACAAGTCCTGGCTGCCTTGGAGCTCAGTGTGTGTGTGTGTGTGTGTGTGTGTGTGTGTGTGTGTATATATATATATATATATATATATATATATATATATATACACATACATATATCAAGCTGGCTTCAAACTCACAAAGAGGTGCACACCTGCCTCTGACTCCTAAGTGCGGGGATTAAAGGACTGCACCATTAGATGTGGCTTAGCCAAAGCTTATTTACTTCACTTAATAAATGGCACACTTTGTCCTAAGACCACAGGAAGAAAGGTCAGCCATTAACCCCACCAGAGCATTTTCCTACAGTTAAATAAAATTAGCATACTAGAAAAAATACTATTAAAAAGACAATTTCTCATGATATATATTTTTACAGGAGGCACCTAAGCTATGTCATAGTCCCCACTGTCTACATCATCTAAAACCTAGTGACAGCTCTATAGGATAATATCAGTCTTACTAAATGAACTTATGAATCTAAAATTAAATATTATCTATTAGGCAACACTTTATCAGTATAGGGATGATAAATTCCTTTACTCTTCTTTCCAAGTAACTAGACACACGTGCATACATGAAATTATGTTAATGTCATCAAAACATTTTTCATGATGTACTATGGGCTAGGCAGGACTACTTGCCCCACAGAAGTTAAGTTCTCCTACCAACTTATTTAAAAAAAAACAGAAGAGAGAGAGAGGAAGTGAGAACAAAAGAATAGTTCGGTTAACTATGAATGGAGTATTGCTGAAGTAAGAGAGGAGAAAAAGGAGAAACATAAGAGGGAAGACAAGAATGGAGAAACCTATTCACAAAATAAGGGCTGCCATTATATAAAAAGCAGAGAATAGAGTAAGCCCTATACTACATCCAGTCAGCTTTAGTCTCTGAGAAGAATTTTCACCCTAGATCCAAAAAGCAGTATCTGTGAAACATCACAGGGAGAGGGGTAGAGCAAACTATCATGCAGAATTTCAAGAGAAGAATGAAATGATGAAATTCAACACATCAATGTATTACTTACTTATTGTTTTTAGTTTGCTTAAGAGCACCTCCTCTCAAATTGCAGAGACAACATTCCTAAAGAGAGAAATTAACACAATTATAAGACCCATATAACAAAAGGCCACTGCCATTCATCCAAACAACTCTACAAAATCTTCTATACCCCTTTCTATTCATCTTGAAACTAAAAGTTTTAAGCTAAAACAATGGTATTTGAAGTTCCAGAAAGGAAAAAGAAAAGCTGAAAATGCTTGGATACATTGCTATATTCAAAGGAACCACCATTTCACTCATAATTGCAATATGGGGAAGTTGTGAAAAAGAACTTTGGAGATGTCAAATTAATTTCAATTTTCACATTGACTGGATAAAGAAATCATTGAACACATTAATGAAACACGGTTTTGGTGTACCTATGTCAAAGTACTTTGATTGTCATTATCACTTGGGTAGAGAAAATTTAAAAAAAAAAGATTATAACATGAATTCAAAAATTTCCATTTCATGATTTGTGGTCAGTTTCAAGGACCAACATACACCCAAGCCTTGACTTTCTTACATGATGGAGTGTATTAGTCTGTGAGCCAAAATAAACCCTTCCTCCCATAGGTTACTTCTTGTCAGATATTTTGTCACAGCAATGAGAAAAGTAACTAATATAGAAAACTGGTATTCAGAAGTGGGACTAGAGCTGTGATAAACCAGACTATGTGGTCTGAACTAATGTTCAGAAAAATGTGGAGGAGCTTGGATTTATGAGCTAAATAAGCCTGAAAATGTTATAGTTTGTTGCTGAAAATTATGAAAATTCATAATTGCCAGAAATTGGAAACAGTCTAGATTTCCATCAAGATAGGAATGTATAAAGGAAAATATGGTACATTTAAATATGGAATATTACTCAATTGTAATAAAAATGAAATTATAAAATTCATAGGAGCTAGAAAAGTCATCCTGAGTGATGTAACAAATATTGATTTTACTCACATGCAGAAGTTAATTGGTAAGCTTTAGATATGTATACTACCCAAATAACCACAGATGTTAGGTAGTATAAGGGACCAGAGGATTTCCCAAGGAAGGAGAAATAGAAAATAGTGTTATAGAGACATAAATTAAAAACTAGAATAGGAGGATTCAGAGGGGAGATAGATGGGAACAAAGGGTAAAGGCAAGACTAAGGGGAGGAACAACTAACACTAAAGATTTCTACAAAGTAAAACCTCCAGTGCTGGGAATGGGTCACATTTTGTTGAGTCAGTGGACAAAAGCTACCCATGTAACCCACCCTCACCACCAAATATCAAGGGCTACTGCCAAGGTTATTGCTTATTCTCCACAACTTGATGATAAGGCCCTACTGCTGAAGACAACATTTGTATCATTGAACAGAGAAAGTCTGGCTGATGCCTAAATTGCAGTTTCATCCCTAATGAAAAGCGTTCATGGTGCTGGAAGGTACTTTGCACTCTAAAAGAGAAATGTAAACATCAATATCATGTAGCTATAAGTGTTGCAAACCAAAACAGTGAATTGCCTGCATGATATACTGGTATAATAGTGGTACAAATATTATGGGAAGAAACGAACATGATTTGACTGGATTTAGGGTCCATTTTATAAGATGGAATGGGTACCAAGAATCGAAGACTAATAGACTACAGTACTATGTTAAGGCTTTCACTGTATATTTGAAGATATTAATATGTATTCAATGTCTGTCTGACCAAACTGGTAGTAGAGAAGCATAAAAGGAAGTGTTAAGATTCTTGTGGAAATAATATTCGGGTTAATTTAAAGCCCATGCCACAAGAAAGAGCCCATATCTGGTGAACTAACTGTGTTAAATTAAAAAAAAAAAAAGCCAGCTTAGTCAAAGGCCTTAAGGGTAACTAACCTACTATTAAATGGTTTTTTTCTGCTAAATGGAATCCCCAAGTTCTTATCGTTACACCTATAGATTGGTCCATCTCTCCACAAACATCAGACACATTTTTGTTTATCAGTAGGTGGAGATTAATAAAGATTTGCAACTGGTCAATATAAGAATAATGCCAGCTCAAAGATGCAGAAGGACTACACTCATGCAATAAACACTAATGGCCAAACATTAAAACATAGTTATGCAACTGAATTCACAAAAGCTGTAATTATATACAAAAGACTTGCACAATATCAAGTCAGTCTAATTCTCCGTATGGAGGGTGAAGGGGCTCATGAAATTCCACTCCTAGCTGAGGGATGGCAACTGATGATTGCTGGGAAAGGAAATGTCTGTTTTCTTCTGGTGTGTAGTCCCTGAGAGGTTACCAGTGTTATAGAAGATGGTTCCACATCCATGCATAAAGAGACAGTACTAAATATATTTACTCAATGGGTATTGTTTTTAAAGAAAGTTGGGAGGGGGGAAAGTGGTGTATCGGATAAGGGAGGATAGAGGGGAGAGATTAGGGGAAAGAGTTGATCAAACTCTTTGATATGCACAAATGTTGGCTAGTTATATGTCAATTTCACACAAACAAGTCTCAGCTGAGACCCTTCCCCCAACACCAAATTGGCCTGTGGTTACATCTTCTTGCATGATTGATATGGGAGGGGCCAATCCATGGTGGGTAGTGTCACTCTTGGGCTACTAGTCCTGGAAAATATTAGAAAGCAGGTTGAGCAAGCCATGAGGAACAAGTCAATAAGCAGAACTTCTCCATGGCCACTGAATTAGCTTCTGTCTCCAGGTTCCTGCCTTGAGAACTGCCGTTGATTTACCTAAGTGATGATAAGAAAGTACAGAATGAAATACACTCTTTCTTTCTCTACTTGCTCTTGGTGACAGTGTTTTACCAAAGCAATAGAAACCTTAACAACATAGCAAGTGTGAGGATCAAAATGAATACTTTTTAACAAGAAAGTAGGTTGAAAACCTAACTTATCTAATCCTATGAAATATAATGAAAAAAGTCGTATGTACCTACATTAATCCCTGAACATATACAGAAAGAGCAGGAATATGTTTATAGATAAGCATATAACAAAAATTAATGAAAAGAGGCCAGAATTAGAAAGAGAACAAGGGAGGATAAATGGATGTGTTAGGAAGGAGGAAATGGTAGGAAAAAATGATGTAATTATTATACCTGAAATACAAAAATGATAAAGAAAAAAAGAAGAAGAAATCAGAGAGATCTGAAATATATAACGGTATATGCCTTTGGGCCCTGGGCAAGGAAGAACAACCACGATTCAGTTGAAGCAAAGCTACTGTTATGATCAGTGCAGAATTGATAAGACAGAGAGAATTTTGCAGGGCCCCACTATTTAACAGGAAGTATAGGCAACTGTGACGGCAGGGAGAACTACCCATGCCCAGAGATGTGACCCTATTGGTTATCAAAAATAAGGTGGTCAGTCGTGAAACTACAGATATAGACACAAAAGACTCCAAAGACTATATTTATATGTTTGTACATATATACATACATTTATACATATGTATCAAAAATATTTAAAGAAAAAAAGGCTATAAATCTGAGAACTGGGAAGCATACCTGGGAGGAGCTGGACGAAGAAAATGAAGATAAAAATATGTAATTATTTTTTAACTAAAAAAAAGTGTATAAAAGTTAAAATATAAACACACTCAAATCTAGGAACTAAGGGAACAGCCTAGTTACAATACACTTGGTATGCACACTCTAGCTTTTAGGTTTCATAACCAGCACCAAAGAAAATTATTTGAAATATGTAAAAAAAATAGAAATGATAATTGTCCAGATTTAATCATTTTACATTGTACGTAGGGTTTAAATTACCATATGAAGCACCATAAATATGTAAAGTTGAAACAGTTAAAGTTCACAAATGATAAATGGGGGGGGCACACATGAAGTTTGAAAAGAAAAAGGGATAATGACTTCATCAAAACACATGTATGAAATTTTAAAACATTAAAAATAAAACAAAACAAAACAAAAACCTATTTGAGTTTCAATTTTACCCAAGTCAGAAAGGATATAAAGAGAACAAATGCCACAAAGGTTGGTGAGAATGTGAGGAAAAGAGTCACCTTATCTTCCAGTGGTAGAAGTAGAAACTGAGTGGTAGAATAAGGACTGGAGTCAGTGTGAATGTTGTTATTCAATTATGGACACATCCAAAGGAATCCATAACCTTCCATAGACATATGAATACTTTATTAATAATGATCAGCAAACGTGATAAGGATGAATAGATGATGGAAAGGTAAAAATACACAATATAATTTCATTCCATTATAAGGAAAACTGAAATTATGAAAAATTCAGTAAAGTAGATAGATATGAAACTATTATAATAAATGAGATAATCCATGAACAGAACAACAAATGTACGTGCTTTCTTTCTTAGAATGTGTGCATTCTAACTCTGAACTTTTAAGATTTGTATTTTAATTTGGAATGTCTGCTGAGGCCAAGAAGCTAGAAAGTGGGTGTGAAAGGGGAAAAGGGAGAGTAGAAAAAACGTGATATGAGGGAGGCATAAAGCCTTAAGCAAGGATATGTACAGCAGGATGCAGAAGAGGAAGGGTAAGGATGGGTTAACAAAAAGTAAGGATGTATAAAAAGACTTATGAAAACCCTCTAAGTTAAAAGCTGTGGTGGTCTGAAAGAGAATAGCATCCATAGGCTTCCATGTTTGAATATGTGTTCTCCAGTTACTATAACTGCTTGAGGAGGATAAGGATGTGCGGTTTTGTTGGAGGAGGTGTAGCCTTGTTGGAGAGGTGAACCACTGAGGAGCTAGGCTTTGAGGATTCAAAAGTCCAAGCCAACCAGCCTAAATCTCTCTCTGTCTCTGTCCCCCCCCCCCCCCCCCTAACTTGTAGATCAGAAATGAACTCTCAGCTCTTGCTCAAAGCACAGTGCCTGTCTGCTTTCCACCATGATGACCATGGACTAACCCTCTGAAACTGTAAGCAAGTATCCAATTAAATGATTTTGTTTATAGGTGTCCTAGGTCAGGGCATCTCTTTATGTCAATGTGTGGTTTCTTTTCTTTTTGTTTTTGAAACAGTTTGGATGGAGGGAAACAGTACTAACAGACAAAGTATATACCAACAGACATAGATTATAAAATGAACATCTCACTACACAAAGAATTAATCATCAGAGGTCCCAGAAGCATCCAAAAGAACATAGGCTATACCCATGCTTTTCAGTTAGCCACCACAGCTAGATTTTACGACCCTGCTACTGAAAACAACACATTTTGCTTTTAACACATAAAGATATCAAGCCAGAAGTGATCCGGAAAACTACACTCCACTAGCTACTTATTACAGTGCCAAAAGGTGCTATTCAGACCACTGAAGGAGAAATGCCATCACCTGTTTTATTTAACGCTGAATTTGACAATACTGAGTGACCAAACAAAACATGCCCCTCAGTGCAATAATAGAGTGAGGTCTGGAGGAACCACTTGCTTTCTGACTAGATTTGAGGCCTCTTCAATGAGAAGGAATTTATGTCTGGTACTGTAAAACTGGTCAAATGTTGGGGAGGTCATAATCTTTCTAATCAAACCTACTACTGTTGTTTTGCTAAAGGGACCCATTGTCACACTGCTTCCTAAATATTTATGATTATATCTATTGATTGATGCTGTTTTCAATGTTGGTCAGAGAAGCTTCCTTTTGCAGTGGATAATAATCAATGCAAAGACACATAGCTGTCAAAATTCGTAAGAATAAGTGATGGTGACTACTCAGTCCTAAACACTTATCTATATCAACTCTCGCAGAACTCAGTAAACATTGGTGAGAAGGGTGTGATAAAGCAAGTAAAGTAAATAGGAGACAGGACTATGAAATGCTGTGTTCTGGGCATTTAATAGTAAAAATAAAAAGTGGACTACTACAAAACATTGCTACATACTTTACAAATATAAATACAAGGTTTTCAAAACTTTATTTACCATAAAAGTATTAGAAAAATTATACTTGCTATATGATTATAAAACCCAAGCTTAATATTCTATAGGGATATTCTGTATTCTGAATAAATTTTATTTTCACAGGCATATTAAAAGTAATAACAGGAAATAATTAAGAATGAGATTTTGTGATATACAGGCCAGCACTGAAATATTATCTGACCACAGCTGAACTATCAGATTCCCATGAAGTCCCTCAGAACTTTTTGTCTAAGCAGTTGGACAACTTCTTTTGAATATAAAGCTAACTATAGGAGAATGATTCCTCAAGATGTCAATATAAAGGATTCCTTAAAAACACAAATATTTGAGGCAAAAAAATTCAAAGAAATCATAAGTATTTACTAAAGATAATATTGGAAAATCCAGGCCTACATTAACTCAAACTATCAATTCTGTCAGTATTTTTACATAATATTTGGAAAAGAACTCAATTATTTCTCAGGAGAAAAGAGAATGAATCTTTTTAGAAAACGCTTATTTGAAATGAATAAACTACAAAATGAGGAATTCGATGTGAATTCAGGTCATTTCAATGAAATGATGAGAAGTTATCTCAGTTTAAAAATCATTGGAAAGTGGTATGTTACCCTATGCTTTACAGTCCAAAGCAACTAACATGGCTTCACATATACTGTAAAGTTTAAGGGAGAAGGGGTTGAAATAAATTCTGAAGAATGATAACTCTGAGCTATTTTAAAAATATCCCACATTAAACAAGCATAGTAGATCAGAACTAGCATGGGGGAGCCTTCCCCTGATTCTGGTTCTAGTATGCAAAGATCAATAGTACCAGAGAAAGATAGGAGTAGGGCCATCATGAACAGAGAGTTCTCAATATCTTGTTGAATTTGATTCATAAATTCATTTCTGGTTCTTAAAGGTAAGTAAAGGTATTTTATCAGCTATCAAAATGACTTAAAAGGCTTCCTTCCTATTGGGTCAAAAACCAGATTAACGACCGTATAGCAATAGCCACCTGTAAATAAGAACTGGGTATATTTATTCCAGTACTGCCTAAAAGCAGAGATTTCTGATTATCTTAGATGTTGCTCATCTACTTAGATTTTGTTCGCCTAACTGATTGTAACACAGAAAATTTGAAAAGAAATTTTTCCAGGCCTAAAAATGTGCAAGCTTTCTAAATGGGAGCAATTACATTGGATATCAAATAGGCCATAATATCTGAACAATAAAGAGTATTTCACAAAAGGTGGTCATATCTTCCTCCTTCTTTCTCTCACTGCTCAAAGTAAACAGTAAACATGAAATCATCCTGAAAGATTTCTCTGAGTTGCCTTCAGTTTACCCACCATGTATGTCTCCATAGCTAAAACCTAGTTCCACAATTGTGATAAGTTCTTCCTATTCATATTCATCAGAGCAGCGATTAAGACTTTAACTTATAGAAAATTTACTATTAGCAATTTATCGTTAGCACTGCTAAAGAATAGAGCAACTGCTAATCCTAGCCACTGATTAATATTTGCTGTGAGATCATCACTGAGGAACACAGCACTGCAATCTAACAGAACACAGTTAAATGGAAAATGTATATGGTATGGTAGATTAACAAAACAAAAAACAAAGACAATTCAAAGTAAACTTCCAAAGGCATTTTTAGAAAACAGTAACTTAGAACAAGAGAAATTTGCAGTCTTTAAATGGAAAATCAATACTAGTTAACATTCTGTCAAAAGTTCACATTAATGACTTCCATAGAGTAGGTACTCCAGTCACGTATTTTAAGGTGAAAAGAACAAAGGGAAAGTCTCTACTTGGTTGGAAAATTGCAGCATTGTGGTTTCTTCAAGGATCCATGAAGATACCTCTCTTGAATATCAGAATTATGTCTAAGAATTTCAAACTGTGTAAGAAAATTAAATAAAAATAATCTAGTCTTGAAAATATAAATGTGGACTTGAAGTAGGGTGCTCATAAGATCTGAAGAATAATGACACCTAGAATATCACCTAAACATTCTAGAATGGCTACAAAGCTGATCGTTAGTATGACTAGGAGAGAGAGGGGATAAATGTACATGATAACATGTACACATTTTACCATTCCTATAGATTTATCCATGATCACAGTGGGCACAGAGAGAGGAAGAATAGCACAATATTAAAATCTACTTACTGCAGTCCATGCATTTCTTTTGCACCGGGCACATAGCCATCCATCACAGATATCACGAGAAGGAACACCATAACAACCTAAAATATAATAACATGGAAGTATGCATTCAGTCCCTTGCATCTTTAAAATGTCAGACACCCTGGTATAAAAAACCTATGATCCCAATGACTAGGAAGCTAAGGCATAGTGATCACATATTCAAGTCCTACACAACCTATAGTGAGCACAAAGATAATCTATGTAAACAAGTGAGATATTTCCAAAATAAAAAGTACAAAGATGCTTCAGGTTACAAATCGGGGATAGACTGTCTAGTATGCGAAAAGGAATTATGTAAAATATCGAGTATGGAAAAAATACACATTTCAAAAATAAACAAATGAAGTTATTCAATGCCTAGCATACCAAAAATGTAAGTAAGCCTCTATCAAAGTTACCTCAGATTCACATATCTTATAAATTATTATTCTATCAGTTCCCCAAGCATAAAACAATTTCTTTTTTTCTAGCTGGGATTTTGCTTCATGTTTGTTTTATTTATTAGTATTAATTAGTGTGTATGTATGATGTAAGTGTAACAGTGTGGACCCATGCATACCATAGCAATTATGTGGAGGTTAGAGAACAAGGCTCTAGGGTTGTGACAATGAAACACAGAAAGTCAGGCGTGCAATGCAACGGAATCTTCTAAAAAACTTATTTATTTGTAATTTTCTATAAGAGTTTTCGCTATACACTTCAGGTTGAATGAAACTTTTGATTCTCTTGCCATAGCTTCCTGAGAACTAGGTCAAGAGGCGCACCAGTACACCAAGCTTCAGAGATAATTCTTGCAAGGATAAAAGTAAAATTTCAAACTGTAATGTTAACATTGTCACTTTTACATAAATATTTCAAAATAAGTTGCAACTCATAAAGCTGTTTTGGGATATGCTAATAAAGTTTGACATGTATTTCAGTCATTGGGGCAAATGCTGCACAGTCCACGATTAGCAAAAAAAAAAAAATTTTGTTTTCAATTCAGTGTTTGCCTAAACTAAGTGTGAAGATGAAAGATGGTGCAAATATTTGTAGTAATTGCATAATATTACAAATGTTACTAGGTTAAAATTTCAGCAACAAATAAACAAGTAAGCAAATCTATCAACAAATAAACTAACTAGCACATATATTATCAGTATTTGAGAATACTTAGACAGAAGAATATAGGATGAACATAATCTGCCACCTACAAAGAAAAATTCTTGGAAAGAGAATAGGAAACAAGGATGGGAAAGGAAAAAAGAGGACACGATGTAACAGAAAGCAAATAGGCAGTAGGGAGAAAGGCACAGTATTCTTAATTCCTAAAATAGAAGCATTTGGAACCAATAAATGAGTAAATTTTAACACCAAAATGTGATAATAGAGACAGAAAAAGAAAAAATTCAGAAATACAGTGCATTAAAGAAAACCATATCATATGTAACCAAGTCAAACCAAATGCTGAATTCAGTCAAGTTCATGGGATTAGAATGGTGAGATGGCATAGCTGGTGACTATATTTATTGTTGGCTGGGGTTTGTGTCTTGGCTATACATAGGAATGTATGGTAAAATAATGTACATACATATGTCTGTGTGTGTGTGTGTGTGTGTGTGTTATCTTCCAAAGCTGTATTAGTATAAAAAGATTACTGTTACTGTACTGCAGAGAACTTGTTGCCTTGGCAGAGGATCCAGATTTGATTCCTAACATCAATATTGTAGCTCACAACCAGCTATAACGACAGTTTCAGAAGACTGGAAGCCCTCTTCTGACTTCCCGAGGCACCAACACCTCATGCAGAATACATATATACATATAGGCAAAATATTCATGTATCTAATAAAATTATAAATATAAAATGAAAAAAAAAAGAATTGGGAATAAGAGTCTGGGATGTGGTTCAGTGGCATAAAGAAACATTTAGCATGCATGAGGCTCTTGTTTGGCCCCTACCAATAAAAGATAAAAGGAAAAAACCAAAAATGCCCCCAAAACAGATAAATGTAATTGAGAAAAATCAGGAACGTTGAAATACTTTGCAATAGATTTGTAATATGTAATGAATTTCCCTATATATTCTAAGGGACTTATGTGGTAAATCTATGTTTACAAATATATACCTATTTAAAAATAAAAAAAAAAATGTGAAACATATGAAACCCAACTACTATAATCGAATTTCTCTATCTTTATGAGAAAAAATATTTAATTCAAAATATTAAGTTGTGGAACACACAAATGAGTCTAAAAAGTCATAAAAATAGTCTTCAATCAAAATTAAAGATGGAAATTAAATTTTCACAATCTATTATTATGAAAATACAAAATTCAAATAAGTGAAGGAGCTCCACGATGTCATCTTGATTCATGACAATAAAATACTCACACCTTCTCTTCACTGAGGCTTCATAAAATTGGAGAAAAGGATGATTATCTCTACTCATAATCTTAACGGAAGCCATTAAGAATATTCATGAGAAGAGTAGAAATGCAGTTCTACTGGCAGGCTGTGCCTCCTATGCACAAAGTCCTGGGCTCAGTCTCACTACCACATAAATCCAGGCATGGTGGTACACATCTGCAACCCTAGCACTACAGAAATGGTGTAGTAACCTCCTGAACAGCTTAGGATACAAGACCTTGGCACAAAGAAGAATGCCAACATGTATACTGACAGGTTATAATGAGGTGATTTATAGGGGCTATGTAAAATACTGAAAAGTCAAGGGCTGGAAAACCATAGATTTATTTACTTGCATGAACCCGCACAAAGCACTTGGCACAGGAAATCAGAAGGCTTGTTCCATCCTCTTCAAGGAAGGCATTTGGGGGGGAATATTCTATATTTTCTTCACTATAAATAAAACACATCTCTGGAATAATGGGTTTAGTCTTTCTTCCAGATTTAACCACTTCATTTACTGTTGTCTCCCATCTAGAATCATTTTCTTCTTTGCTGCTCTCAGGCTGGAAAGATAATACACACACACACACACACACACACACACACACACACACACACACGATTAAAGACATGAAAGAGCTCAGCTTTTATTCATTAATCCATTTATACATGTTCTAGCCACTAAATTACAACTTCTCATTGTTTTCTTTAATTTAACTGGCAACATTTTACCAATGCTCCTCTACAGACTCCTATTCAGAAATCACTCAGTAAAAATAAAGAAGAACTGTGGTTTCATACAAGATTGTGAGGAACTCTTTAAACTATGATGCTCCAAAATACTTCAGGAATGCACAGTTACTTCTGCTTATACTTGTCAATGATCTACTTGTACTAGGCTAATGCCTGTTTTGGCTTATTAAAAAATATTATGTAGATGTACTTCAAAGAATACATATAAATGCTCAGGTTTTCTATGAGCAGCAGTTTAAACTCCAGAGAAAGCTTGAAATAAGGAGACATACTGGCATATGTGGTCAGATGAGAATGATGTGCCAGATGTGACTGTCATCATTCAGCAAACATGGGGAAATTACAGCTAATGGATTACCTTTATTATTTCCTAGATCTTAAATAAATCAACTTCTAAAATTTTTATAATAAGAAATATTTTTATTATTATATTACTATAACATGTCAATTTACATGTTGACATTCTTCTTTGTGCAAAAGTCTTGTAGCCTAAGCTGCTTAGGAGGTGGCTACATAAGCCAGGAAAACTCACAGGGAAAGAATGCTTAAATAAGAATCAATAAAAGCAAATAATTAACAGATAAAAAAAGTAAAACAAAAAGTAAATAAACTACTAATTACAAATTTGAAAATGAAGAAATTTCACTCTCTCCAGTTCTAAAATATCCAAATTAAATAACTATTACATAACACTTTTAGAAATTCATGATCTTGAATGAAGTCTTTATGACTCTATCAGGGAAAACACAACTCTGTTGGAAAGCAATTTCTTTATTAACCAATGATAATAGAACATATTCATTGCATACAGAGGGAAATCCAACATCACAACTTAAAAATAATGATCATATTAGTGGGTTTTCTAATATAGTGTACCTTAAAGCACACAATATAATTTAATTTATACAGCATTCAAGATCGCTTTCTTGTGTGTATTCAGAAGAATACAGTCATGCCTGAGCTAAGATGCTGTCAGAATGACATCCATGAAATAATGATGGAATCAACAAGCATAGTAGTCTGATAATGGTGAATAAATACATAATTTGTAGTGAGTCTTGGGTATGTCTTTGGCATGTTTCAGATGGAAAGGTGAAAAAGAAAAGGGGAGGGCAGGGCACTGATATCCATATTATTAAAGAATACTTTTAATTTAAAAAAAAATACTAAGTATATTTTTTTCTGTGAAATGTTTTGTTTCCAGGCTTTAAGTTAGAAGTTTGGTGCCTTTTAGTAAAATAACTGGATTTAGAATTGCAAGTTTCTAAAATGCACTAATATAAACAAACACTAAAAACAAACAAACAAAAAATGAGCTCATCAAAAGCCCTTAAGAAAATACAACAGTGGAAGGATACGTTGGTAGCCATCCTCCAAATTACCTTGTAGTATGGCATGAGCAGAGTGCAAATTGCACAGTGTGGTTCTATTTTTGCCACAGCTGCATTATACTCCTGTTCAGCCAAAAAGTTGGGAGACTTTGTCTGCCAAAGGTGGATGAGAGGCTTTGCCCAAGACTCTGTTTCTTCCACTTCTTCGTCAATGGTTAGAATTTCAGGTGACTCTTGAGAGAAAAGAGGAAAACAAAATAAGCAGAAGACTCAGAAAAAGATATCACCCTGGTAACAGACATTGAGTAGTCTTAAATGACTGTGATATCAATGTCAGATGCTAAGCCTATTTTATCAAGCATATTATGAATGAAATAGAATAACTGGGTTTTCTTGTCATCTTCTCCAGCCTTGGAGAAGGAGATCAGAACATCTCATGGAACCATAAGCTATTTTTCTTTTTGCTAGGAAAAATTAAATCAATACTTCCTTAAACTTCATCACTTCATCTTTTCAGCTTCCACTGCAAAACCACCCACACGGTTAAGTATAAGAATGACTAAGCTAGTGACCCTCTTATTAATACTTTCATTTTCCTTAACACAGTAAAAGTTTATCAACTGAATTTAATTAAATTGATTTTTTTAATTTAAAATTCTGTGGTATTTACAGAGTACCCATAATGTAGAAAACAAAGTAGTTGTCATAGGAATGCAGAGTTGGAGAAAGAGGAATAAAAATTAAAATGTAAAAGAAGCTAGCTATAGGAAGACTAGAAACTCATCCCCATTAGGACTACACACATACACACACCCCAAATAGAAAACAATATCCACAGTCAAGCAAAGTGGTTTTGTAAATAACCTCTAAAATAACTGATAACACCAGAGGCCTGTAACTTTTTGGTGACTTGCCTTCTTCATGCTATATAGTCAATGTTCATTTTCTAGAATACCTTTCTTTTTCAATAAAGTGTCTCTATTTCACTCATCATTCATTTGTTCCTAGTTTGATTCACTTTTCTGAAGACACAATAACCTGTGGTTATACTTTGAACACTGATCAATATATGCAATGGCAGGCAAGCCACCCAGTAGAAAAAGCCATGCAATTTATTTCTGGAACATTTCAAAATGGTGTCAAAGTTCCCAAGAAAGGCCTGATGACAGCCTATGAAAACATGAAAGTCTGGAGAACTACATTCAGCATTTCCTCTGACTTTCTTTCATGGCTATGGCTTCCTGTGATTGAGACTGGAGGTATGTCTGGACCCTCTCCCTTGTTCTCTCTATTGCAACTTGACATAGGGCAAAGAAGTAGGAATGTGCTAATGGCTTCCTGAGAGAAGCAATACTTTAAATTGTAAAGCAACTATACAGGAGGGTTTGTCTTTAAACTGGAAGGCTTGCAAAGAGTCACCATGATCCAAGTGAAGCCTGGGAACACATGGAGACCTAGTCCCCACTGGAGATGCAGGCAGTCACATACTAGCGTTATGCACATTGAAGCTGCCTGACTAACGTGTGTGCAAAGAAAGACAGTTATAGTTAATTGTGCCACCAAGATGGTGGCGCTTATATGAGGGAGGACATTACAGTACTAATATAAACAATGATAATTACATGGATTGGAGTCTACAATGTCACTGAACCCTATAAACATAACCAACCCTTCTTTATTTTTCCCCCAGAGGACTACCAAGATAAGGAGAATGACAGACTCAAATGAGGACCTGGTATAAACACTGCCATAGCTCTTGGCTGGTCCCTCCAACTCCGAACTCCTACCTATGTCCTAGGGATGAGGCAGGAGCAGATACCTAGATACTAACTCCCAGTTAACTTTTCTTCCCATTTTCTTACCAGTATGATTTATTTAGTTCTGCTCTTTTATATCCTAACTGCTTTCAAGTTCTGCCTGTTCATTTAGTAGTCACAGCAGTATTGATGAGGTACAGAGATAATTTACAAGGTAATAAGCCACTCACATAAACATGCCAGCCCATATGTACCATTTATCTGAATGGTAATATAAAAACAAAAGTCATGGCAAATTATGACTTATCTCTGAAACTAGCAGTCTAGACGTTTTTCTGTCTTTTGTGGACAGCAGCCTTATTTCACTAAAGTAAAAGAAATAACATCATAGATGTTCATAAAAGGCAAGTGCATGTCTATATTGTGGAACACAGACCCACGTCGTAAACAACATGAGCCTGGTGAGATGACTCAGTCTGTAGAGTGCTTCTCTCCAGGCATGATAACCTGATTTCCATCCCTGAATCCACATAATGGAAGGAGAGAGCAGACTCCTACAGATTGTCTTTTGGACAGACACCGTGGCATATAACTGTTCAAATACATTCACAAACACAAAACAAAGAAATAGCATGTAATGAGAGACAGAAGAGGAAAAAAAAAAAACATAAGAAAAAGCCCAGTTTATCTCTAGAAGCTCCTAAAATAATTGAGAAATAAAACTCTACTTGTTTTCAGCTTTTTAGTTTTCTTTTTAAAGTGAGCATTAAAATTATTTTTGGAATGCTTAAATAAAAGGAATGTGTGACTGTATAGCAAGGCCTACTAAATATATACCACTTTATAAAATTAGGTACTCTTAGCTTCTTAAAGTCTATGAAAATGATATTTTTGAATCATAAAACTTTTATAAAGCATTAAAATTCCTCTTGTTTATATAAAATAATACTTACTGGAGTCATAACAATTCACAAAACTATGAAATGTTATATTGAATATATAGAACTCTATAAATATTTCCTTCCAAAACAGTCTCTGAAAAAAACCTTGTATTTTAAACTCAGCTCGCCCTCCCTCCCTCTCTTCTTTTCATTTTAATTAATAGAACATAACAATAATAGGACATATCATTCACCTTAATCAAAATAAATCTAATACGGATGACTCTAAAGAAGCAGTGTCTTCCAGACACAAAAGGACTGATGCATATATGAATTCACAGATAGGACCCGCACAAGTTCAAATTAGGTGCAAGGGAGAAATGGACACTGGGTACCACCAAGAAGCTATCTTCAATTGATCATTGTTGACAAAGGAAAAAGTCAGTTTTATCCAGTGGAGTGTAATTGGATATATCAATCACATACCAGGGCAATCACCTTACCCAGGAAAAGCTGGCAAACACAAAATGAATTGTATCTCTGTGCACATGCATGTTTATGCAGGTTCATGCTTTTGGTTTGGTTTTGGCATTTTTATCTTACTATTTTCTCACTTGCATTGAGGTCCTTTTCTGTGTGTTTTATCTTGTTCCATTTTTATTTATTTGTTTATTTTATTTTGTTTTTTATTTTTCCTTGATAGAAAAACACACAGAGAGAAAGAACATGAAATTGGGTGCTACCAGGAATGAAGATACTCTGAAAAGAAATTTATGTCCCCGACCTTCCCTTTGCTGAATAGCAAACAACGGATAGCAATATATTGGAATTCTTCTTGGAATCTCATGCCCAAAGAAAGAAAATACTGAATCCAGCTGACATTCAGAAGGGAATGTTGTCATTTAGAAGAAATTTCTCAGAGTTCTGACAACCTGCAGAAAACCTAACAAGAGAAACTGGGGCCCAGACAACAATGATGGGAAGGACCATACCAAGGTCCAAGACTACTTAGCTATATGCAGCTTTTGCCTTAAGTTTTCATGGGGAAGATGAACTTGATTTGATTTCTCTTGCCAAAGTGACCATACTGAATAAATCCCATCTTTCTGTTTATCATCATTACATGTTTCTTTTTTTTTTTTTTTTTTTCAAGACAGGGTTTCTCTGTGGCTTTGGATGGAGCCTGTCCTGGAACTAGCTCTGTAGACCAGGCTGGTCTCGAACTTACAGAGATCCACCTGCCTCTGCCTCCCGAGTGCTGGGATTAAAGGCGTGCACCACCACCGCCCGGCCCCATTACATGTTTCTTCTTACATGTGGCTTAAAGAATACAGATGTCTCACATTAGCTAGCCATGCCTACTAGAGTCCAATCCACAAGAACAGTAAAAACAAGAACTATAATCAATGCTTCAATGTGGCTCCTACCAATACTCAAACTTGTAAAGGGGGGGCGGGGTTCACCTGTACACCTGGGCAAAGACAGTATTTAGATAGCTATGTGTATCTTTTCTTCTATATTGGTTACTTTAGAATTTAAAACAAAATAGAGTTGAAGAGGTATAAACAGAAATCAGTACAATGACAGTTGAGTCTTAGGAAAATTAACCTTTAACATCTTACTTAACACATGCTATTATAGTTGGTCTGGTAGGGATAAAGATATAAAGAATGACTTAGGTCCCTCAGTTTCGCTACCAGATTACTGAAAAATAAAAAATGACCCTCAAAAAGTAGGAATTCCAAAGCAATTTCTCTCTGGTAGAAAAAAAAGCCTAAAATCCAGAGGGGATGATTTTCTTCTACAGAGATTTACAACCTGTCAGACCACCATTCAGGAGAGAAATTGATGGTGGGATAAATCACAACTTTTAATGTAAATAAATCTGACCTTTTAACTTAACATCAAAAGTATGAAGATGGATTTGGCAGAGATAGCGACTCAGCCATATTTCCCAATGTAGGTACAATGAATACATCTCTTTTTTTCCTTCTTATTATTGATTTGGTTCTTTTAATAAGCTTGTGGAGGACAGGTGGCCAAACCTGACTTGTAGATCCAATCAAGAGACAGGTTATATATGTATGAGATTTTCAAAGAATAAAAGTTATTCTTAAATATTATTTTAATGATTCCAACTCTGCTTTATACTATAGAGTCCTAAAACATTTTTCCTTGTCAAAGATACAAGTCCTGATATGGTTGAAAGTCAATGTCCAGAAAATATTATGTTATTTCCCTACAAAAAAAAAAAGTATGAATCTCAGTGTTGTGACCACCTATGGGCATTTGAAATGCCTATGGGCATTTAAAATGCTCAAAACTGCTGAAATCACCACAGGTTAAGAACTAGGGTTAATCTCTTATGACCAAGTAACAAATTTTATATAAGAGGAAAATAAGATCAGAAAGAGAGCTTGTCTAAATTATAAAATAACAACAAAACTCAAAAAAAACCAAACAAACAAACAAAAAAAACAGTAAGACCAGAGTCTACTAAGAGAAAGAAACTCCTCTTCTAAGAGTTTAAAAGAAATTTCCATTGCTTCTGCCAGACACATTACAGGCATTAACAAGCAGAGAACACATCCCTTCTAAATTTGCTACATGGAGTAAGAAGTAAAATTTGACCTCACTCTTAAGGCTAAGCATTCATTAGGTGAATTCTTCTATCCTACAACCATTCTTCACTAAAACCTAAGCAAGCGGTTTGGTCCTCTTCTTGAGTCCATGGTAGTTTTGATTTTGTTTTCTGTTTTTCCAATGTACGTTCTTAAAGGGTTGGCTGCTCAAAAGTTCTGTTTTGCATGTCTTATGAAACCAACTGCCTTCTTTCCAAATCTAGACCAGGAAAATTCTGAGAAGACTCAGAGCAAGAATTCTCCAGCTCGATGGGAATTTCCTCTGACTCCTTTTCTGGCTTGCTCTAGTTTTTAGAAAATCCAGCTATAATTATCTTCTCACTTCTTACTATCACCTTAACAGCAGAAATGAGAACCAGTAAGATTCACATAGGTTCAGAGCGCTTCATAGACACTGAGATTTTAACTTTATTAACTCTAGGTGACAAATGCTACTATAATCCCAGCTTTGGAAACACAGGCTCCAAAGCAAGGAGACCCCAGGCAGCTACCAGAGTCAGCCAACAGAATTACTGAGCAGATGTCACCTGTCTGTCCCACCTGAACAGAAGATCCAACAAGAGCTTACTGTGGTGCTTTTTGCTTTAGTTTTCTGTAGTAGGACCAGATTCCAAACTCAATACAAAAATGATCATTTACCCACATGAGACACTAAGTGATACTAAGAGAGGTAATTTCTCAGAAATTCTAATATAGGTATATTCTAATAGGAACACTGCCAAAGAGCTGGTAGGGCAGAAAATGCCTAAAATCAGATGCATTGGTAACTGTGTATTCCAAATGAGGATTAAATCTGCTTGTTCAATTCATTTAGACAATGATAATGTTTCTTCACTTCCAATGATAGAAACTAGTAGATGCAAAGGAAGAAGTAAGAGTGATCAATGATCTAAATAATTTACTTGAGGATATAGAATTTTTTCATTGTCATTTTAGATTTTTTTTACATCTTTAGCCACTAGGAAACACTTACGGTTTTAGAATTCAATTCTCATAAATTCCCAGAAAATGTTAATATGTGTAACCACTGCAAAAACAACAATTACTAATGTTTCATACAAATATTTAAGCTTAAACCCTTGAGACAACTTTGTTAACATAATTCACTTATAAATTTTTGCAACCTCTTTACACTGAAATCAAGGGGGTACTCTGTACAAATTCTCAATGGATGACATAAAAATAAACTTCTAGGAAGAAAAGCACATGAAAGAAAAAACTTTCTTTAGAAGTCTATCTAGGCCCTTTCCTGCAGAGAAACCACATCAATAGCAAGCTGTGAAGAAAAGGATTCAAAATTCATAGATATTGTTAGATATTAATTTTTTTAAATTTGTCTTTTAGTTATAATAACTTTAACCAACAACAGCTTGTGCTAAAAGAACTAAAATAGAATAAAAAGGGAATGGATAAAGTATAGACAGTATCCATAATCCTAGCAAGTAGAAGGCTGAAGCAGAAGGATCAAATTTCCAGCCTGTCTAGATTGCACTACAGTAATTTGTCTCAAGGAAACAAAAAATTAGAACTCAACTTGATAACATAGAGAAATAACAGCTAGTATGTTTCTTTATTTCTACTATTCAACTAGAATGCTTCCCTGTTATAAACAGTACTACTACTATGTTCTTTTTGCTACATAAACACACACCATAAAATAAAAGACAGTAAGCAGAAAAATAACGTTGGTACTTCAAGTGAGAGTTACTTAATCTAAGCCAAATCCCTACAGTGTTGTTCTCTTGACTACAACCTCAAAAATAGGTGACTTTAGAGAAAAGGAGACTATCTCAAAGATGGACTGCACAGAGGAACAAACAACAAAAATGCTTGAAAAGATCAGTTAGAAATGTAATGAAGAAGTACTTAGGAGAAGTCTCACAGAAACATCACATAGACAGAGAAAGGAGAATCAAATTAAAAAGAAAAGTAAATGTTCCAATGGGATATGTGACTTAAAAAAAGATAAGGGGTGGTTTCTTAGTGGGTTCATGAATTGAAATGGTTCAGGTTAAAAATACAGACAATGAGTATGACATGATTTGATGTGATTCAATTCAAGTCATTTATTATAAAAGATGATAAATAATGATATACACTCACCTTCATCACTCACTACTTGCTGCTTCACAACAGTCATTGGGGATCTGGCTGGAGGCTTACCAAGTGGATGGCGCCAACTCTTAGTAGTTTTGGGCTGTCCTTCTATTATCTAGTATAGAAAAAAGAAAAAAAAGAGGTAGAAACCTCCATGAATAATGCTTGATTATTTTCAGTTTACTTCTTTTTCCCATTTGTCTGGTATGAGCATGTGTGTGCAGAAGAACAGGCAGACGTAAGATGTAGACACACCACTAGCTCACCGCTTTACATTTTGAGACAGGATCTCAGTGAACCCAGAGATTAACTCTTCATTAGTTTCACTGGCTAATAAGCTCTAGTGATTCCACTGCTTCTGGCTCCAAGCACAGTGGTTACAAACTAGTGCAGACATGGCTAACTTTTCTTCATCCTTAAATAGCAAGCACATTATTTACAAAGCTGTTTCTTCAGACTCAATAAAGATTTGTTTCAGAAAAAAAAATACTTTAAAATTATATCACTGTTTAGTAATAAATCTTATACTTATTTACTCTTTAAGAACTTAGCATTTTAAGCAATTTCATCTTACAAGCTAGGGTAGAGCTCAGTAATAGAACACTTACCTAGCATGCACAAGGCCCTGGGTTTTCATCCACAGTACTACCAGAGAGACAGAGGGAGAAAGGCTGAGGGAGGGGGAGAGAAGGAGAGAGTGAGAGAGGAAGAGAGGGAGAGAAAGGGGAGGTAAAGGAAAAGGGGTAGCATTTTTTTTCCCCAAGAGGTCAATTAATTCTCCTTCAAAAAATACTGTCTTTCATGGAAGACTTACCAAAGTTAGCAAGATTTCAAAGGCCCTTTAAAACTGGCCAAGTCCACCATTACACGGTCACTCATAAAATGATCAAGAACTGTGAAGTTGTATCACCTCTAGCCTTTCATACATGAATATCTGGCAAGTGACCTAGCATTTAACCTCATAGAGAAGAAAAACCAGCCAAATGAAATAAATAACTTTTTTTTCTATTGGGAAATGAGCCATGGGTTCAGTAAGAAAATATCACTTTTAAATGAATCATTCCTGTTATGAAGTCATTAAATTTTGAAAGATATTTTTAAGCCCCTGGGAGACACTTTCCAATTTTACTTTCAATATTTTTCGAGGACATATTTGTATTTGAGTAGAACACATGACTTAGAAAATGATCAAGTCCACTGATTAAATTATTGAAATAAGAAATAGACTATTTGTAAATGCTGTCTTTATAGTATGCCTTATCATTAACGGATGTGAAAAGGGTCAGAGTAGGTTTAGAAAACTGGGAACAATCAACAGGCTGATCAGGTACCCTCTCAAATGACAAAGAAGCTCCTCACAGACAACTGAAGTCTATGATGAGATTCAGAATGTTAGCACAGCATTAGTTCATCTGACCCATTCCTGATCTAAGGACTGTTCATTTGGCAAACATATAATTTTAACACCAAACGAGAACAATGGATAAATACAGAAAGGAGGCTCTAGCCATGAAACCAGCATAGGGGCTTGATGATGTGGGATGCCCTTCAGTATGCTGTGAATATGTTTTATTAACATTGGTTAATAAAGAAGCTACTTTGGCCTGTGGCAGAGCAGAATATAGTTAGGCAGAAAATCTAAACAGATACAAGGAGGAAAATGTGAGATTGAGGAGACATCAGTAGCCTCCAGAAGAGAGTAAGCTGTGAGGTACCAAGCCACAAGCCTTGTAGTAAAATATAGAATGATGAAAATGGGTTAATTGAAGTTGTAACAGCTAGTTAATAATAAGCCTGTGCTAATAGGATGAACAGGACGGAATTAATATTAAGCCTCATAGTATATTTTAAAAGCAGCTGCATGACTAGGTGGGACAAGAGGTCTCCTGCTACAAACAACACCCAAACTTAAGCAACTACAGCCACATAAAATCTGAGAGCACTTGGGAACGGATTTTAGAAACAAAAGAACAGAGTCAAGCATGGCTTCTTGGTAGCTGCATTTTCTTGGGATTTGTTCTGTTTGGTAGAGAAAAGTAGAGGCACAGCTCCTTTAATAGAGGCTATCTGACTCAGTGTTAGGGACAAAAACCAAGTGATTCTTTGAAGAGTCCCTACTACCAAAACCTTAAATGGTGTTTATGAGCAGCCAGCAGCAGGCTTCTTGGTGGTAGCATGGACCTAGAAACTCTGCAGAGTTGTAGCAATAAACATGGCTCCCACAAGTACCTCCACCATGAAGCTAGACTATTAGGAAGTCAGTGAATGGGGCAGAGCAAGCTGCCAAAGCTTCTGCTTTGATTCTAGTCATTCTACCTTAACAGATTAGAAACCATTTGGTCAGAAAAAGATAGAGATATATAGTAAAGACAGATTCAGATGAAAAACATCTCAAAATGTTTTCCAGTGTGTTGAAAAGTAACATAGGCCTGGAAGAGAAAAGAAAAAGGATAGAGAAAGAACTTAAAAAAGAGTAATACAGAAAGAGTATGGATATGGTATGTTATTGTGTTGTCTTTCAATTGTTTGACTGCCAAGGAAGGAGTAACAGCTGCTAAAAGACAATTGATTATAAATCCTGCTGGATTAAACCAACCTATACATTTTATAAATATTTTGACTTCAAAATTTAAGACAAAAGATGTGTTACTTTGAGAAAGACTTTCTGATTTTATTTCCACAGGATTTGGATTCATCCTGGTTTAAGAAAAAAATCAGTTTTGATTGAGGTAGACACCCCCCCAAAAAAAAAAATTCTCCTAAAGAAGCGGATCACCCAGATGATCCAATGTCTCAGAGCTCCTCTGTGGCAGTTTCCTCTGAGTTCTATCTACATCTAGAACAACTTCAAAGTGACTGATTGAAGTGCTCCGGCCTTACAGAATACTCCAGTCAGGATTTGACCATAATCTCAAATTTTCTCAGGATGCTCTGAAGATTACCAGTGCCCCAATTAGAAGAATTAGCCTAGAAAATTATGTCAATATTCCAAAAAATTGGATTATGGATGTTTGTCTTTGTTTTGAGTGTTGGTTACAAGCTGTAATGGGTAATGGTCAGGAAAAAAACTCAACAAAGAAGATTAGATTCAGGGTCCTTGTTTTGAAAAAAAAAAGGCAAAATGCTGTGGGATGCACTTATACACTGTAAAGATTTATCACTCATGTTGTTTTAATAAAATGCTGATTGGTCAGTAGCCAGGCAGTATGTAGACAACCATCTTAGGAAAATTCTCTGAAGAGGAATGGAAGAGATGCAGTAACCAGTCAGACACAGAGGAAACAAGATGAGAATGCCTTACTAAGCAAAGGTACCAAGCCACATGGTTAAACATAGATAAAAGAATTAGGGGTTAATTTAAGTTGTAAGAGATAGTTAATAAGCCTGAGTAACAGGTCAAACAGTATATAATTAAGTATATAAGCCTCTGTATGTTTATTTGGGACTGAAAGGCTATAGGACCAGGCAGAACAAAAACATATTATCTACAAATGGCTCCCAACTTGCAACAAGCAAAAATTACTGAATCTAAATTCTTAAAACAAACAAACAAAAAAACAAAAAAAAAACTGTTAATCTCAAAATACTTTACATTGGTATGGATTTTGTTTTTGATACAAATTTCAGGTCAATTTTGTTATACTATTTATTTCTACTCTTGTTTAAGGTATTATGTTTATGTAGCTAATTTAAAAATGTAATGAGTAGTTAAGAAATACAAATTAATAGTCATCTCTAATAGTCAAACTTATAGTAATGTTAGGTAGGTTTTCTAGATATGGAGAGATATATTTCAAATAGGAACACAATCTTCAAACATGTCAAAGATCTACATAATATGCCATTTAAAATGTATTAATAACTTAGACATTTCTGGAAAATGAGACACATCTGCTCCTAGCAGCACCAATTACTTCAAGAGGATGATTGCCATCGAATAAGCCCCTCGTGGAGTTTGCTTTCAGTGTGGTGAGATATAAACTGAACATGTAAAACCCACAGGAAATGACTGTTGAACTTGAGAAAAACAAGGTGGGATGGTCCTTTAAATCCTGCTTAATGGGAGAGTCTGCATAAATTCTACAGGACATAGAAGAAAAGTTACCGATGAATTTTGCCAAAATAGCCTGAATAGTCAGTCAGTCTTTCAGATTTCCTGTTCCACTGATAAATTAGCAAGACACTTTAGGCTTATAGGCTAAAGAGAGATGTCCCATCATTACAGAAGAACTTTGGATAACTATCCAGGCAGCCAGATTTCTCTGTCATTTCTAGAGTTTTGGAAGTTGCTTACAATGTACTTCCTGTTTACTTAGGTATTATATCCTTCTGGGGTCTTTGATGGAGTTGAAGACAACAGCTATAGTTTTCCTTAATTATAATAAAAGTAGATACGAAACTTATTCTCACAAAGATAGAAGAGATGATAGAATAATTTCTTTACTTTTGTCAAATACAAATAATTAAATACTTTAACTATAATTTTTGTTTTAACCATTTTACTGTTCGTAGTTTACTATGATAAAGTTAAAACCTTCCTTTTGAATTAGAAAGAAAAAGGGGAATGTTGTAGGATGCCCTTCTTTATGCTGTGAATATGTTTTGTTGTCATTGGTAATAAAGAAGTGGCTTTGGCATATGGCAGAGCAGGATTTAGCTAGGCAGGAAATCTGAACAGATACAAAGAGGAAGAAGGCAGGGTCAGGGAGGTGCCAGCAGCCTCTGGAGAGGCAAGATATGAGGTACCAAGTCAAGAGCATTGTGGTAAAATACAGAATAACAGAAATGGGTTAAATGAAACTGTAAGAGCTAGTTAACAATAAGCCTCAGTTAACAGGCCCAAAACTATGTAACTAATATGAAGTCTCTGAGTGGTTTATTTTAAAAGGGGCTGCAGAACCAAGAAGGATGGGAAACTTCCAGATAGAGCGTAACTTTTCTGAGAGGAAAAAGGTTTGTTTATGTGAATAACCAGGATCAGAAATGAAGCTCTAATATTCTAAATAAGAGGAATCAGAGAATACAATAATCATGTGAGCCATGTTATAAAAAAGACTGGATAAAATTGATTTTTTAATAGTTATACTGTCAGGAAGAGAGTACCCAACAGGCAACTTATCTCACATTGGACATCAGGGCTGGTGACAGGAACACTCTGTATCACAATTGTCTAAATATCAATATGATTAAGATTTCAAAATAATTCCTATCATGTATTAGTGTTTGAGGAAAGTTGCTAATGCTTATATAAATGATCTCTCTGTATATTTGCAGAGAAGACTGTATTAGCTCCAAATAAAGATGTTGCATTTTTAAAGTATGTAGCGAAAGAAAATTAGATCTCAACATGTAGCTAAAATATTTCAGTATTAATAAAACAAAATGTAAGCCAGAACTCATAGTATTTCACTGCCAAAAATGTATTCCACTGATAAAATATGATTAAAGCTCATAAATGTAAATACTATTTATTTCTGCCTTAAAGCAAAATTTCAGGGGATAATATGCTGTATTCACAATGTATTATTACAACCTTATAGGCCATCACCCAAAAAACAAAGTAGAAATACATACTGACATGTACCTTGGGAATTTTGAGCTCATTTCCCTCTTCACTAAGAGCTTCTGGGATTTCCCCAGGTTCAAGGTTACTTCTGAGGCCATCTTCATCATTGTCTTCTTCCTCCGTCAATACTCTTTTACTTTCTGCAAGGGAGGAAGACAACTTGGGAGACTCCGGCCGTAGAATTGTAAAGAGATGTGATTCCTTGCCTGTTACCTGGCTACTAGAAAATGCCATGAAGTTGCAGTCTTCCTTGGACACAGATGGTGAAGCTATAGCAACAGCTGCGTCATCCTTATGTATTTTATTTGTTACAGGTGAATTTACACAGCTTTTACCTGAAGAGCAAACAAAAGACTAACAATAAATGCTGCATTGCATTAATACTAAGTAAAGAGACTGAACAACAGTGATTACTGGTTTTATATTTTCTTTTCTTTCATTTATCTAATTATTTATTTATTTTTGATTTTCATAACAGGTTCCCAGATCCTACAGACAAGGCCAGCCACCTGCCTTTACCTCCAAAGTGCTGTAATTAAAAGTGTGTGCCACCATACGTGGCTGATTTTTTCTGACTGTCGATAAACATGAAAAGTCCTCAGTCAATGAGATCTTGGACTTCCTTCCTATTTTCTGTGTGACTGTTATGCAGCATGAGTTTTTTGCTGGCAAGAATGTAAATACACTAAATGTGTGTGCCTAGTGACACGAAAAATTCTACCAGGGAACTCCTACAACTGATAAAACACCTTCAGTAATGTAACAGGATACAAGACTAACTCAAAAACATATCAGTACTCTTCCTGTATACAGATGACAAATGGACTGAGAAAGAAAACAGAGAAACATCACCCTTCACAATAGCCACAAAGAGCAATAATCATAATCATAATAATAATAATCTTGAAGTAACTCTAACCAAACAAGTGAGAGACCTGTATGACAAAAACTTTAAATCTTTTAAGAAAGAAATAGAACACATCAGAAAATGGAAAGATCTTCCATGTTCTTGGATAGATAGAATTAACATAGTAAAAATGGCAATCTTACCGGAAGCAATCTACAGGTTCAAAGCAAAGCCCATCAAAATCCCAGCAAAATTTTCACAGACATCAAAAAACTAATATCCTACTTCATATGTTAAAACAAAAACAAAAAGTACAGTATAGCCAAAACAATCCTGTACAATAAAGGAACTTCTGGAGGCATCACCATCCCTGACTTCAAACTACTATAGAGCTACAATCATAAAAAAACATCTTGGTATTGACATAAAAACAGGCAAGAAGACCAATGAAAGCAAATCAAAGAATCGGATATCAATTCACACACCAAAAATACCTGATTTTTGATAAAGAAACTAAAACTTTAAGTCAAAAAAAGAAAAAAGAAAAAGCATCTTCAACAAACGGTGCTGGCATAACTGAATATTAACATGTAGAAGAATGCAAAAAGTTCCATAACTATTACAAGTACAAAACAAGTCCAAATGGATGAAAGACCTCAACATAAAACTCACCACACTGAACCTCACAGAGAAGAAAGTGGGAAGTGACCTTGAACGCACTGGCACTAAGACAACTTCCTAAATAAAAAATAAGTAGCACAGACACTGAGAGCAACAATTAATAAATGGGACCTCCTGAAACTGAAAAGCTTCTGTAAAGAAAAGGAGATGTTGAACAAGAAAAATGGCAGCCTACAGAATGGGAAAAGAGCTTCTCCAACCCCACATCTGATAGAGGACTAATCTCCAAATACACAAAGAACACAAGAAACTAGTCATCAAAAGAACAAATAATCCAATAAAAAAAAATAGGGTACAGACCTAAACAGAGAAATTTCAATAGAGAAAATTCAAATGGCCAAAATACACTTAAGAAAATGCTAAAAATATCCTCAGTCATGGGCACGCAAATCAAAACAGTTCTGAGATACCATCTTACACTTGTCAGAATGGTCAAGATCAAAAACACTGATGAAGCCGGGCGATGGTGGCGCAAGCCTTTAATCCCAGCACTCGGGAGGCAGAGGCAGGCGGATCTCTGTGAGTTCGAGACCAGCCTGGTCTACAGCGCTAGTTCCAGGACAGGCTCCAAAGCCACAGAGAAACCCTGTCTCAAAAAACCAAAAAACACTGATGACAACATAGGCTGATGGGAATGTAAACTTTAAAGCCACTTTGAAAATAATTATGGCTGTTTCTCAGAAAATGAGAAATCACTCTACCTCCAAAACCAGCAATGTCACTATTGGACATATACCCAAAGGATGCTCAGTCATACCAGAAGGGCATTTGCTCAAATATGTTCATAGCAGCATTATTTTTAATAGCCAGAACCTGGAAACAACCTAGATGCCCCTCAACCAAAGAATGGATAAAGAAAATGCGGTACATTCACACAATGGAGTACTACTCAGTAGTAAAAAATAATGACAACTTGAAATTTTCTGGCAAATGGATGGAACTAGAAAAAACCATCCCGAGTGATGTAACCCAGACCCAGAAGAATATCATATGTACTCACTCATAAGTGACTTTTAAACATAAAGCAAAGAATAACTAACTATCCTACACTCCACAACCCCAGAGAACCTAAACAACAACGAAATCTCCAAAAAAAGACATACATGAATCCACGTAGGAAGAAATAAAGGACAAGATCTCCCAAGTAAAATGGGAGCGTGGGGGCAAGTTGAGGAAACAAAGGGAGAGGGGTGAAAGGCAGAGGAGTGGGGAAAAGGCTAAATTAAAAACAAAAAAAAAATGAAATAAAATTAAAGGTAATAAAGCTAAAGAAAAAACTGAGGAACAATTGTTTTAAGAATGACGCACAAAGGTTTTTATGTCATCCTAAGTAGAATACTACAAAGATGGTATAAACATGATGTAAACTGTTTTTTAAAGCTACAATATGGAGATGTGAAGGAGAATTCCTAAAAATAATGTGTCTACTGAAGGCTAACTGATTAAAACTTCAAAGAGAGGTTAGAATGTTGCAATTCCAGAGTTTAATTTATCTAATTGTTGCCCTACTAAAAAGCCATTCCTTGCTCCCTACACCCCATGGTGTAGACTTCAAACTTGGTTCATTTCTTTTCATGTGAGAGCTGTACTTTTGCATTTACAGAGATATGATAGCAGAGGGGACTAGAGTGACCTCTGTATGTCAGGAAGGAAGTACTTTCTGTAAGGATACAAAAGATGTAGTGTCTTATGGGTAGGCACAATATAAGATTAACAGGAAGCGTTGGATTTGATGAGTATCAGAACGGAAGGAATACAGGATAGAAAACAGGAATTACCAAGTAAATGAATGATTAAGAGAACAAAAATGTTACAATAGTTATTAAATATATAAATCATTAGTAGTTTCATAAAAATTTTCAAAAACTGGGTAATAAAAAAATAAATGGACTTTGTTTATTTTATGTATTTGCTTGCATTTATGTACCATTTATGTGCTCACAGCCCACAGCAGTCAGAAGTAATGAAATCCTCTGGAGCAAGAGTTGCATATGAATGGCTGTGAGCCACCATGTGGGTGCTATGAAAGCAACCTGAGTCCTCTACAAGAGGATTAGCCTCTGCTAAGTATTAGCCCCTAACAACCTCGTTCAGCCCTGAGACCAAATGTAAACAACAATAAAAACAAATTCAGCAGGTTGTTTTAACATATTTGCTTCTAGATGTGTATGTTTATGTGTATGAAATAATAACAATAAGAGCAAAAGACTACCAACTTGAGGGGCATGGAGAGTTTGGAGGAGGAGCTGGAGGAAGCAAAAGGAAGGAGGCAGTGATGTAATTAAGCCTTAATTTAAAATGTATTTAAAATGGGGTGGGGCACTGGAGAGATGGCTGGGTGGTAACGAACCCTAGCTATTCTTCTAAAGTGCCCAAGTTCAATTTGCAACATATTGACTCACAACTGTCTATATCTACAGTACCAGTGGATCACACAGACACACATACATATAGGCAAAACCCCATACACATTAAGTAAAATAAATAAATAAATAAATAAATAAATAAAATCTTTTAAGGAGATAATTGGGTCATAAAACAAGCTCAGGATTTCAAGGAATCTGCTGTCCTAGGCATTCTGGGAATCAACTGCCTTGTAGTCAGAGATCATAAAACTAGGGTATGTGACTTATCTCTCATTTTCCAGTTTAAACAAACAAACAAACAAAAACCAGTTTATTTAAAATAATCAGACCCTCTACCCTTTTAACTCTCCACTGCAAAAACTGATTCCCAGACCCAGCCTAGTGCATCCTGTACCCTCAGATACAAATTAGAGTTGCAAGTGCTAACTTCTCAGATGAATAAAAGTTTGCTCTTACCTTTCTGAGGTCAAATTGGGTCTATTCTTTCATTTCCCTCCACTGACTTTACAGTCTTCACCACTGCACCATCACTTAACCCCTTAACTTATTTTTAGATTTATTTATTTTACATTATTGAGTCCTTTGTCTGTATGTATGTCTGTTCTTTTATAAAAGTGCATTGATAAAATGGAAGAGCTGATGGTTATTATTCTTGCTTTCTTTTCTTTTCTTTTTTTTTTTTTTTTTTTTTTTTTTTAGTTTTTCGAGACAGGGTTTCTCTGTGGCTTTGGAGCCTGTCCTGGAACTAGCTCTGTAGACCAGGCTGGTCTCGAACTCACAGAGATCCGCCTGCCTCTGCATACCGAGTGCTGGGATTAAAGGTGTGAACCACCATCGCCCAGCTCTTTATTTTCTTCTTAAAAGTAGCAAGGAATCTGTACAGAGTAATCTATAAATTCCTTTTTTTTTCTTGTAAATTTTAAGTTGAATTTTAAAATTTTGTAAGTCTTAGTTTTTTATTAAACCACATGTATACTAATGGATGTTAAGTTCAGAATTCTATTGCAGATAAAAACTGTATCCCTCACAGCATTGTATACACTTATCCTCATAGGTGAATTATCATGTAAGTTTATTTAGTTAATGAAAAAGCTAGGTGTTTTAAGGCATCAGATTATTAATTACCATAGTCACAAGTGAAAAATAATCATACATTTTCTTACCTGAGAGTTTGGTGTCATTCAATAACTTCTGATCTGCCTGTATCCTGGCATCAGAAGCTTCTCCCTCTGAAGGTGCTTCTGTGTCACCCTGCTTAGATGGTTTTCCTGGCTTTTCAGTGACTTTTAGGTGCCCTGGACATATGGCACGGTTTGAAACCTCCTCCCCATTAGATTCAACAAATTCCTCATCCTCCTCAGATTTAGGCCTTTTAGAGAGCAACTTGTTACCCTGGAGGCTATTAACAAAAGGAAGGTGGTCAGAGCCAAAGTTCAAAATTGATATGAAACACTTATCAATGCAAATGATACTGTTAGGTGCTTATATCAAGAAAAATTTAGTTATTTAATATAATTTTTACAAATAGTCTGAATTTGAAACCATAATTGTTTTAAACTGACTTACTAACAACTGAATTTTCATATAATTAATAACTAATGAGATAACACTATAAAGTCATGTAAGGCAGACAAATGAGCTAAACAGAATAAAGAAGAACACACACATATTACCAGTTGAGTGCTGTCAGCAGCAATAACAACACTGAGGCCAAAAAACAATATTTGCATATCCAAGGTATACATGTAAACCAACAATGTAGCTGGCATGGCTCAGAGATTGTGAGGGGGTTTTATATTTGTGAATGCTGAAAGATGGTCTTACTGAAGGGCCATCACATCAACCATCATTTTAAGTCAGCTAATAAAAACAAAATACACTCCTGAACATTAGTACTTGTATGAAATGAGAAACATGTTCTGATTAAACACTGGCAGTCTGTGTATCAAATTTATGTACTCCATCAAGTAGAAAAGCCTGGTGACTTTAATAACTTTGCCAGCTTATTCACTTGACCACAAGTGCTACTTTGCACGTTTCTCAAGATTTCAGACTGCTATGTTTCCTGAAAGCCTCAGAGGCACTGACTCCCTAATTACAGCATCTCAAACTTGGAAAGTTTTAACAGTAAGTTATTCATTTTACTGAGATAACTTATACATAAAGTAAATACTAAATTTTGAGCAAAATATTTAAATTATAGTGTTATTACAACAAAAGCAAAGGTGTCACAAGTCTAACTGTAGAAGATCAAATACATGTAGGTATTAAAAATTATGCTAAAGGAAATAATTTAATTATATGAAAAGCACTCACATACATGGTTACTCAGTTTTAACATAGCAAAAGCTAATTTTGAAAGGTGTATAATATTTTTATATTATATATAATATACATAAATATAAAGAAATATATACAAAATATTAAGATGGAGTCTCTAGATAGTGAGGTTAAGAATGAATTGAATTTCTTGGATATTTTTTCCTGGCTTTAGAAAATTAACAGATTTCAACTATTATTTTTATGAATTGAAAGAATAATACACAATAGTATAAAGAAAACCTAAACAAAAAATTAAGAGTTAATATGCAAACTAAGAATCTGAGCCATAAGACACACAGCCTATTCAAAGGTTTTAACAAAGTCCTAGTCACAAAAGTAGATTGGATGTAAGGTTCAAAAAGACCACCAAGGTACAGAAATAATGTTTTCTCCTTTGAGTCTTTGAAAGGAAACAAAAAGAATAAAACCACAGCATAAACATCAAGATGAGGAAAGAAGTATTTCAGCTAATGGGAGAAATCATAAGTAAAAATTTTAAACAATGGTAGCATATAGAAGTTGTAAGTCAAGTTATTTAAAATATGGTAAATAAGGTAAAGAACAAATACATATTTAAAATAAATTTATGGAAGAATTCCAAAAAGTTCTATGTTGTTCTACTCCTTATGTACATTGATTTCAGGAATACTCTGCATAAGTGACTACCTGTTCCTAAATTCTACTACACCAATTCAAAAACTAAACATACACTACCTCAAAATTTCAGTAATATAATAAAGTTATGAATAGCAGAGACAAAAATAAACCAGTAGTCCTGGAGAACATTTTGTTCCATGATACATTTAAATAAAGTCCATACTATAAACAGGATGTGGTAGAATCCTTACCTCCTGGATGCTTTTTTTAATTTTTTCTTCCTCTGTAGCCATATTTTTACTTCAGGGGTAGACTCTGGAGTAGGTTTTGTATGGTCAATAGTATAAATATCCTTTCCTTGTTTCCAAATTTGGTATCTGTCTGGCTGAAATTTCTTTACAAATATATCCATTGATATTTTCACCATGTCATTCCGGCAAGTGCACTGAAACACAGCGAACAGTTGCAATAAAATCAACAATGAAATATTTTGCTAACTACATAACATACCACACCCGTGAGTAGAACATGAATGCTTAATTGAAATATAAGAAATTTAACATCTAAAAAGAAACTCAGAACAGAGTTCTTTTTTGAAATGAGAAAATATTTTAAAATACTTTGTACATTTATATGAACTGTGTACCAAGAAAAAGATGCAGAGAAGCATGAGTGAGTGTCTGAAGGTTTTTCATCAAAGTTACTCTACCACCACAGATATCCATCAAAACTCTGTAGTACAACATGCAGTGTTTGTATGAAAGGATTACTATCACAGATATGCATCAACATTACAAAGTAGTAATGCTATATGGAATGTTTGTGCCAGTTTAGGCATGTTCTGAACATCACCAAAAGTTTTACCTTAATTAAAAGCTTGGTGCACACAGAGGGGCTATTAGTAGGTTAGACCTAATGAATGGATTTTAACTCATTGGATGCATGAAATAGTTCTTATGATATTTCTTTGGTAAATAGTTATATGTGAACCTTTGAGATTTCTCCTATGTGTTCTTATGGAAAGCCTGATAAAAAAGAAGCAAACCAGGCCTCAACTATCTTTTAGCTCCACCCTTGTGAGATGTGACATACAAACAGAGTTTGCTATTCTTACCAGAGGCCCAAACAAACAGGGCTGGCCCATTTTTTTTCTCTTTGAACATGTAAAGCACTGAGCTCTTTGCAGATACTTGTATTAAGGTATTATATTGCAGTTAAGCAAAGTTGTTATACAAATCTGGAATGTCAATGAATGTGTGATTTGAATAATTTAACAAGAGAGTCATTGGTGATATGTCTGGGTGGTTGAGAGCAGCTGTTAAGCCTGACAACCTGAGTTCTATCTCGAGAGATAGATGAGAAAGAAAACTATCACATGGCACGAGAGAACTGACTCTACAAGTTGTACTCTGAACTCCATTTGCATATGATGGTATGCATATACACATATGCACACACAACACTATAAATAAATGTAAAAAAGAAACATTTAATTATATTTGTTTTTATTAACAACCTCTTGTAGGTAGAAAGATGATTAACTAGCTAAAAGCTCTTGTTCTTGCAAGAGCGTCCAGTCTACTCACAGCAAACAAGTGGTAGCTTACAAACATCCCTAACTCAAGTTACAGGAAATCTGACACCCTCTTATGATCTCTGCAGACACTAGGCATACAGGTGGTACACAGACAGAAGTTAAGAAAATGCATTCATACATAAAAAAATAAAATAAACGCTTGCAAAGTAACTCAAATTTTTAAATAAAATCTCCTCTTCATTATACCAAAGATACCATTAAGCAATCAACAACACCTTGTAGAGAAAAGTAAAGGATTAATAGGAATAAGAAATTTAAAGGAACCAGGTAGTAGTGGCACATGCCATTAATTCCAGCGCTCTCTTAGCATAACTAAAGAAAACTATAACTATAAATTCTTCAACTCCATCAAAGACTCCAGAAGGATATAATATTACCTAAGTAAACAATAAGTTCATTGTAAGCAACTTCTAAAATTCTAGAATTGAAAGAGACTTTTCACTGCCTGGACAGTCAACCAAAGTTCTTCTGCATCATTGGGCCATCCATCTCTAGCCTACTGGCCCATAGTATCCAGCAGACTTTTCCATGAAGCAGGAAATTTCAAAGACAGTTCTGACTATATTGGCAGTTTGTCCGTCACATTTTTCTGTATTCTGCAGAATGTCTAGCAGACTCTTTCATGAAGCAAAAACCCTGAAGGATCATCTCATCTTTAAGCAAGTTCAGCTGTCATTACTCTGTGAGTCCTGAATGTTCAGTTCATCAAGCAGTCCAGGCAAGAGCAGTTTCTTGCACAAAAGGCTAACCAACTTCTTAAGGAGCCTCTTCAATGCCCATTCCGCTTGAAGTAATTGGTGCTTCCAGGAGTGATGTGTCATCTACAGTCTTAAGACCTTAAAATGTTTTAAATGTCACCATATTCTGTAGTCTTTAAAAGGTTTGAAGAATGCCTATCCATCTGAAATACTTCTCTAAACAGCTAGAAAACCTAACATGACTACAAGTTTGACCATCTAGATAACTATCTATTGACCTATATTTCTTAATTATACATTAACATTTAAATGAGCTGCACAAACACAATATCTTAATCAAAATCAGAAATATACATATAACAGAATTGATTTTAAATTTGCATCAATAAACCAAGATCCATGCCAATGCAAATCTCTATAGCATACCCCCATTTAAACATAAAAAATAATTATAAACAATATTTGGGAATATGGGCATAGTTCTATCAAAACTGCTTCCTGCTGTTTATTGGGTGAAGTAATTTTTTGAGAGGTATTCAAGGCAACCTTTCAGGGGACTTGGTCCATCAAATAACATTACTCTGGAAGCAATCCACAGGTCCTTATCCTCTGTTGAAATGAAAGGATATTTTCCAAAGTAACATATATTCTTAGACCCATATTTTGAATTCAAGATACCTTTAAAATATATGTCTCAAAAAACCATATATACATAAAAGAAGCAAACCGCCTCTCCAGCCCTACTTACTTTTTGTAACTCTTTGTACTCTTTTTCCTCTCTCTCCCAAGACTATGTACATTTATCCATCACTATATCCCATTTAAAGGTCTTTAATATTTGAATCTGTCCTATTGCGTATCTGTAATTCTTTAAAAAACTTTTTAAAATGCTAAGCACTTCTTACATACTTAAGCTGAAGCCTTATAGGGTATATATGGTATTGTCTGTTTGCTGCCTCTGAGAGGTCATGCCCACAACCCCATTCTCAAGCACACATCCAGTTCAGGCTGTCATTAAGCAAGCTGCAGCAGTCTGTTCACAAACGCCATACAAATGCTTTGTAGTCGGACCTCCTGCCTGAATGAGGCACAGGTCATTCTGGCAGCATGGCCCAGAGAGACAGCATTTCAAAAGAGCACAGCTTTTTTTCTGCTACCCCTGAATCAGGAAAACCTCTCTTAAAGGAGCGGCAGCGTGCCGCCAGCAAGCAAATCCTATTTAGGGAAAATAAATGCAGTTAAACTTCATTTCTTTGTGTCTAGAGTTCCTTTACAAGCCCTCTCAGGTTTTACATGAATTTAGTCCACACATAGGTGTCAATTTGTAGTAAGGAGACAACTTAGCCAGAAAATTACTAAGAAAGACCTCCTGAGAAATCTCCGATAGGAGTGAATGGACTACATGTCTGAGTTCTACATCCAGAACAAACTCAAGACTGCTGCCTAAGATGATCAAGCCTCACAGGATACTCCAGTCATGACTTGACCAAAATTCTTAATTTTCTTTAGGTCCCCATAAGATTATCAGTGCCCCCAATCAGCAAGAAGTAGCCTGGAAAACTATGCCCACATTCCCCCCAAAAAATGGATTATGGAAATTTATCTTTGTTTAGAGTGTTGGTTATAATATGTTATGGATAGTGGTCTGGACAAAAAGCTAAACAAAGGCTATTAGATTCAGAGTTCTTATTTTGAAAAAAAAAAAAAAACCACAGTGGGAAAGTGCTGTGCGACAATGGTTTTACCCTGTAAAGATTTGATTCTTGCACTTGCTTAATAAATGCTGATTGGCCAGTAGCCAGGCAAGAAGTATAGGCAGGGCAACCAGGAAGGAAATAGTGGCGGGATGAGAATTACAGGAAAAGGAAAGTTTCAGTCTGCAATTGTGACCCAGCTGCAGAGGAAGCAAGATGTGACTGCCTCGCTGAAAAAGGTACCAAGCCACATGTGAGCTAATATATGTTATAAGAGTTAATATGAAGCCTGAGCTACTAGGCCAACCAGTTTATGTTGCAGAGGAGAGTCGCTTGTTGGTCTTGACTGCCCTGCTAGCTTAGCCCCTAAAATAATCACACAGAAACTGTAGCATATAAATCACTGCTTGGCCCATAATCTGTAGCTCCTTATTGGCTAACTCTTACATCTTAATTTAACCAAGTTCATTAATCTGTTTACTGCCATGTATCAGTGGCTTACTGGGAAAGATTATCATATCTGACTCTGGCAGCAGATCCATGGCGCCTCTCTATGCCTTCCTTCTCCCAGCATTCAGTCCAGTTTTGCCTAACTACCTAAGTTCTACCCTATCAACAGGCCAAGGTAATTTCTTTATTCATTAACCAATACAAACTACACATAGACAAAATGACCTCCCATACCAAGTTTACAATTAATGTAGACTTCTGTGTGTTTCTTTGGGACTGAATGACTGCAGGATTGGTTTGGACAGAATCCTCTGTCAACGGTGGTGCTTGGTCAATACCTACTAATGGTATTCTCATTCAAAATAGATAATACCCAACATTTAGTAAAAAAAAAAAAAAAAAAAAAAAAGGCCGGGCGGTGGTGGCACACGCCTTTAATCCCAGCACTCGGGAGGCAAAGGCAGGCGGATCTCTGTGAGTTCTAGACCAGCCTGGTCTACAAGAGCTAGTTCAAGGACAGGCTCCAAAACCACAGAGAAACCCTGTCTCGAAAAACCAAAAAAAAAAAAAAAAGGAGCTATATAAAAAAGCTTCTGAGAAATTAACTATTTTCTAAGATTTGGCATCCAACAATAGCAGGTCAAAGATAAAAAATAAGGAATCATGTAAAGTTATTGAGTAGAAGCAGGCTTAAAGAAATTAACCTTCACTGATCATAGACTAGCTCCTGAATCAGGTGTTTTTATGTAATTAAATAGAAAAAATATATTTTTAGCTTTCAAATAATCAAAACACTTGGGCTCCAATGCCTTCCTTATAAAGCTTTTCCCATTTTCCAAACATCCAAATATTACTCTCATATGACCTATGAAAGTGAAAAAGTATTACAAGAAACAATAATATGGAAAAACAAAATGTCAAGAAATACACAAATTAGGACTGGAGAGAGAGAGATCTTAGCACTTATCTAGAGATAACATTCTTTTAATAAACTGAAGCTTTATGT